GATCACCAAACCGACTTCAAATCACGCTACCATAAGTAACTTACTGGTTCCCACTTCTCCATTTACAGATTCAACTTGTTGATCACAGCTAAACTCCGCCTGTTCCAATACATCTTTTCTTTGAAGTACAATATTGTCAGGAATGGGTAAGTATATTTTAGCCAAAAACATTTTTCTTTTAGCAGATTCATAAATCTAAAAATAAAACAGACTGTTTCAATTCAAAAAGTTGTGTTAGTAAAGGAAAAGACCAAGCAAACAGATTCTGGAAGAAGTTCAAGGAAGAAACTGATACTTCAAGAAGGTACAATAAATAAAAAGCAAGAGATTAACATTACACAGAGAGATAATGCAAACAGATCCAGTTTTTCATTACATAGTATCTAAATTCAGCACAGCCATTGTCATAGATATTCTTGTAAACCTTTCTGAGGTAATGAATTACTATTATCCCTCCTATAAAAACAAAAGCCCCCTTTACATGTGCAGGTAAAGGCACAATGGGATCTAATGCAAGATCTGTACAAATCATTGCCATGCCACATATGCTGACAAAATTCCCAGCCGCAGGGGAGACACTGCTACAGGTGAAAATTAAAGTTTGATAGCAATCAGCTATAAAGTTTGTACATATTTTTGAGGTCTAACTTTATAGCTTGTTGGAGCTTTTTATGGTATGATAGCTTCTCTGAATGTGTAGCTAGTTTTAAGGTAATTGCACAATTAACCAGCTAATTGTGCGATAACTGTAACATGTAGAAGGGGCCTAAGAAACAGTGGGTAGACCTATACAGCATAATGCAGAGATACCTGATCTAGTTCTGAAGACTCTAGCTTGGGTACCAGAACCAATATAACTGTGATTTGTCTAGCCTAATTGATTTTGCAAAAAAAATTAACTGAGCGCAGATCTCTACTGGGTTTAATTAAGCTTGCTAAAAAGCAGATTAGCTTAGACAGAGATTTGTGTTAATGTGACTATTTTGCTTCTGACACCTGAGCTACCCCAACCTGGCACTGCTTTGTGCTCTGCAGGAATACCCAGAGTGACTAATGTCCAGACCACAAAGGTATTTTAATGCCCAACTCCCTTGGATACACAATAGCTTTGTGCATGCAGGTCTAAATATCTTATGTCCACGGCAAACAAATAATATATGGTACTAGAGGGAATTAAACCTGGATTTTCCCAGTACCAGACCTGTCACCCTACCCAGTGGGCCAATATTTATTTCAAATTGTAAACTGCTTGCACATATGTACATGCACAGATTGCATGTACATAATTACAGGCATACTTTAGATAACCACTTCTGAAAATCTGTTGAGGTATTTTTGTATGCTATTTATACAAAGCTCAACTAAAACTTAAAAGAATATAATAAGTGTCTGATCATTAAAGCCATCAATTCATAAAGTTTAGGATCCTTTACTTTATCTAAATTCTTCTACCTACACTTAATTCCTCTACTCTGGCACACTGGCTATACAATTTAACCGGGCTACCCCTGTATATTAAGAACAATACTTTGTATCTGGATAAAATATCTCCCCAACACACATACACAGTCTTGATTTGACCATATCAACAGATGGAAAATCCAACACTTCCTTTTGTAATGTTCCAACAATTAATCATGCTCCCTGCTAAAAACTGTGCCTAATTCATAATTTGATTTTGACTGACTTTAACGTCCAACCATTGTTTACTGTTAAGATTTCACTGTGCCATGATTAGAGCCTTTAGTGACAGTATCTTCTCTTCTGATGGTACTTCAGTACTCTTAATTCCTCTGCCTAAAGAAAAGGGAAAGAACCAGGAAGACAACTAAGGGAGAAAGCAGAACTTAAACTGACAAATACCACACAAAACAGGAGAGAGGCAAAGGCTGCCAACTGCAACCAAAAGAAACAACAATGAAATGTGGTCCTCTGTTTTTCCTTTTTTAAAGATAGCTGTAGTAACAGGAAGAAGAGTAATTATGATGATAACGATAAGAAGAAGAAAGAAGTGCTTCTTTCTTTCAAGAAAGGCTTTGAATGGATTTGTAGGACATAAGCACAAACTGATAAAAGCATTCTGTCCCTAGCCAAGGCAGCTGAGAGAAACTGAGAAGGAGGATGTATTCACTGTCCTTTTCTTCTATCGGCAAGAGGCACAAGGAAGGATGCACTCTATAGTTATTGCTTGAGGCACATGGTTTCCACAGCTGGACTGTACATGCTGACAATAATCACTCAAAAAAGGAAACATTTTATATGAACGGTCTCAAGCCACAAAGAAATACACAATCTGTACAAATGCCCTGTCTTTATCAATATTTGCTATTCTGTCAATCTTTGCTTTTAAAAGTTATGGACAACAAGGTTATTTCAAGTCTACTTTCAAATCATTAATAAATACTAAATAGCACTTGGCCTAGTACTGATTTAACTAAACACAGCCCCAGTTGATGCTAATTCTCCAGTTACAGTTCTCCACTGATAATTACTTTTTGAGGTCTGTCATTAAGGGCCATTCTATACATTCAGATAAAGGCACAATAAGATCTACTGCACAATCTACACAATCATGCCTCCTACAATGCCACACGTGCATGACAGGAGGTGCAATTGTGGGATTGTGCATTAGATCCTATTGCACCATATCACTGCTTCAAGGGGATAAAGCGTTTTTCCTGCTGCCCTCTCCGTGAGCCCCACTGAGAGCCCCACAGCTGAGGTGGCTTGGCAGGGGGGAAGGGGGCAGCATGCTCCCCACTGTAAGCACCACAGCTGACAACACTACCACCACTGCAAGACTTATCAGCTGCAGGCTGGCAATAGATGGTGCACCCCTGTGGCTGGGAGCCCCTTAGTTGATGGGGCTCCCAGCCACAGAAGAGTACTTGGCCCCACATTCAATTAATGCTAATGGAGAATTAGAAAAACCTACAAAGTTATTCCATTTTTAGTGGAATTGTTTTGTAGCTTACTGCTTGTTTTATCATCCAGTCATTAATTGGCTGAATGTGTAGCTGGGTTACAACTTAAGGCATGATTACCTGTTTAATCATGCCTTAAATGTAATGTGTAGAAGGTGCCAGAGTTAGCTTTTAATCTTTTTAATGCAGAAAATAGGGAAAG